GGTGACACAGCTGACACAGCTGACTGACACAGCTGACTGACACAGCTGACTGACACAGCTGACTGACACAGCTGACTGACACAGGTGACTGACACAGGTGACTGACACAGGTGACTGACACAGCTGACTGACACAGCTGACTGACACAGCTGACTGACACAGCTGACTGACACAGCTGACTGACACAGGTGACACAGCTGACTGACACAGATGACTGACACAGCTGACTGACACAGATGACTGACACAGCTGACTGACACAGCTGACTGACACAGGTGACTGACACACAGCTGACTGACACAGGTGACTGACACAGGTGACTGACACAGGTGACACAGCTGACTGACACAGCTGACTGACACAGCTGACTGACACAGCTGACTGACACAGGTGACTGACACAGGTGACTTACACAGGTGACTGACACAGGTGACTGACACAGGTGACTGACACAGGTGACTGACACAGGTGACTGACACAGCTGACTGACACAGCTGACTGACACAGCTGACTGACACAGGTGACTGACACAGCTGACTGACACAGCTGACTGACACAGGTGACTGACACAGGTGACTGACACAGGTGACTGACACAGGTGACTGACACAGCTGACTGACACAGCTGACTGACACAGCTGACTGACAGGTGACAGGTGACTGACACAGCTGACTGACACAGCTGACTGACACAGATGACTGACACAGATGACTGACACAGATGACTGACAGGTGACTGACACAGCTGACTGACACAGGTGACTGACACAGGTGACTGACACAGCTGACTGACACAGATGACTGACACAGATGACTGACACAGGTGACTGACACAGGTGACTGACACAGGTGACTGACACAGCTGACTGACACAGCTGACTGACAAGCTGACTGACACAGCTGACTGACACAGCTGACTGACACAGCTGACTGACACAGGTGACTGACACAGGTGACTGACACAGGTGACTGACACAGGTGACTGACACAGGTGACTGACACAGGTGACTGACTGACACAGCTGACTGACACAGCTGACTGACACAGCTGACTGACACAGCTGACTGACACAGCTGACTGACACAGGTGACTGACACAGCTGACTGACACACAGCTGACTGACACAGCTGACTGACACAGGTGACTGACACAGCTGACTGACACAGGTGACTGACACAGCTGACTGACACAGGTGACTGACACAGCTGACTGACACAGCTGACTGACACAGGTGACTGACACAGGTGACTGACATAGCTGACTGACACAGCTGACTGACACAGGTGACTGACACAGGTGACTGACACAGGTGACTGACACAGCTGACTGACACAGCTGACTGACACAGCTGACTGACACAGGTGACTGACACAGCTGACTGACACAGGTGACTGACACAGCTGACTGACACAGCTGACTGACACAGATGACTGACACAGCTGACTGACACAGCTGACTGACACAGCTGACTGACACAGATGACTGACACAGGTGACTGACACAGGTGACACAGCTGACTGACACAGCTGACTGACAGCTAACTGACACAGCTGACTGACACAGCTGACTGACACAGGTGACTGACACAGGTGACTGACACAGCTGACTGACACAGGTGACTGACACAGGTGACTGACACAGGTGACTGACACAGGTGACTGACACAGGTGACTGACACAGCTGACTGACACAGCTGACTGACACAGCTGACTGACACAGATGACTGACACAGATGACTGACACAGCTGACTGACACAGCTGACTGACACAGGTGACTGACACAGCTGACTGACACAGCTGACTGACACAGATGACTGACACAGCTGACTGACACAGATGACTGACACAGATGACTGACACAGATGACTGACACAGATGACTGACACAGATGACTGACACAGATGACTGACACAGGTGACTGACACAGCTGACTGACACAGCTGACTGACACAGCTGACTGACACAGCTGACTGACACAGATGACTGACACAGCTGACTGACACAGGTGACTGACACAGGTGACACAGCTGACTGACACAGGTGACTGACACAGCTGACTGACACAGCTGACTGACACAGCTGACTGACACAGCTGACTGACACAGGGGACTGACACAGGGGACTGACACAGGGGACTGACACAGCTGACTGACACAGGTGACACAGCTGACTGACACAGGTGACTGACACAGCTGACTGACACAGCTGACTGACACAGGTGACTGACACAGCTGACTGACACAGGTGACTGACACAGCTGACTGACACAGCTGACTGACACAGATGACTGACACAGCTGACTGACACAGCTGACTGACACAGCTGACTGACACAGATGACTGACACAGGTGACTGACACAGGTGACACAGCTGACTGACACAGCTGACTGACAGCTAACTGACACAGCTGACTGACACAGCTGACTGACACAGGTGACTGACACAGGTGACTGACACAGCTGACTGACACAGGTGACTGACACAGGTGACTGACACAGGTGACTGACACAGGTGACTGACACAGGTGACTGACACAGCTGACTGACACAGCTGACTGACACAGCTGACTGACACAGATGACTGACACAGATGACTGACACAGCTGACTGACACAGCTGACTGACACAGGTGACTGACACAGCTGACTGACACAGCTGACTGACACAGATGACTGACACAGCTGACTGACACAGATGACTGACACAGATGACTGACACAGATGACTGACACAGATGACTGACACAGATGACTGACACAGATGACTGACACAGGTGACTGACACAGCTGACTGACACAGCTGACTGACACAGCTGACTGACACAGCTGACTGACACAGATGACTGACACAGCTGACTGACACAGGTGACTGACACAGGTGACACAGCTGACTGACACAGGTGACTGACACAGCTGACTGACACAGCTGACTGACACAGCTGACTGACACAGCTGACTGACACAGGGGACTGACACAGGGGACTGACACAGGGGACTGACACAGCTGACTGACACAGGGGACACAGCTGACTGACACAGCTGACTGACACAGCGGACTGACACAGCTGACTGACACAGCTGACTGACACAGCTGACTGACACAGGTGACTGACACAGGTGACACAGCTGACTGACACAGGTGACTGACACAGGTGACTGACACAGGGGACTGACACAGGGGACTGACACAGCTGACTGACACAGGGGACACAGCTGACTGACACAGGTGACTGACACAGCTGACACAGGTGAACGTGTTGAAGTCCGCCTTAACATTCTGGTCCCGCTTCGGATGCCACGATGCCATCTAGCGGTGTCTCTGGTCGTGATCAGTCCTTCACTGACCAATCAGCGTTCATTAGCAGAATGCTAGCGTGTTATGGGCAACAACAACTCAACCTGTAAGAAATCAAAAGGACATAAGTACTCGTTCATTCAACTTTCGACCTATAACCCATGTTGAACTTGCAAAACTTAGAATCAAATCTGAGATTTCTCAACGGCAATCGGGTGAAAGAGACTAATTTAGCCATTTAGCTCCATAGACTCCCATTCACTCATGCACTCGGGCGATCGCCCCCAGTGGAACTCTGGTGGAACTACAACCAAAATTCGGTACAACAGGACTTAATAGGGAGTGGCAACGCTCTCCGTAGACGGCCTCTGGTAGTACGATGCATCGTTGAAGAATCCACTAGCTATAGTAGTAAAGCAGCGAGTTACAGCGCTGTACGGGAAACACACCCCTGGTTGGGTGAGGTCATGTTTTAAAGGAGCTGTGGCTTAAGGTGGGATCTTATGCTTTCAAAGCTAGCTTAATTGCTATTGCTACCTAGCATTCAAACTATTTATATAGAAAAGATCAACTGAAGAAAAAAGCAAGTATTAAGAGCATTAGTAGTTGCTCCAGAACAGCGGCAGTGAGGTCAGCTGTGATCAGTCATGTGATGCACGTCTCACAGCAGAAGATGGGCTAATGTTCACTCGTGTGTGTGAGGCGTGGTGGGTTTACATGTGAAGTTCCTCTTCTCTCTCTGTGTGTGTGTGTGTGTGTGTGTGGGTGTGTGTATAAAGATGACCAAAAACTGACATCCAAAATATTTATTTCATTCAGCAAAAGAAGTGAACTGAAGATGGCTTGCTTTAATTACAAACATTTATTACAGGTTCTGATGGAAACAGCTGACCCGTCACAGATGGAGCGGGGAACGGCAGTGATGCATGCTGGGACAGCTCCGAGTAACGCATGTGCCGTTCCACCGCGACGCCACACACACACAGCCCGGGCATCTGGATGCTTACACTATGTTATTTGTGTTTCCTTACAAAAAACACTAACAAAAATGATTAATAATAATCATGGAACAAGGCATGCATAATGTTGTCATCCCTCTCACTCAAATTAAGAGCTATTCAAGGACAGCTTTAAAAAATCCATATACGGCATTTACATAAATTACATTTGTCCATGTCACCGATTAATAGCTGTCCCGATGCTTCTGATCAAGGCAAGCTCTGTTAAACGTGTGTGTGTGTGTGTGTGTGTGTGTGTGTGTGTGTGTGTGTGTTACTCGACATTAGCATATAATCAGTGATGTCACACAGCTTCACCATCTCCAATTACGCCTCATTAAAACACAACATGGATTGGTCGGGATCGGCTGACAGCCAATGGGAATGAGCTTCTGGAAGTGGCAGTGTGAGTTTGGGCAAACAATAGACAGATATGAAGATGGCCATCAGCGGACTGCCAATCAGCAGCCACTGCTTCATCTCAAAGCCTCGTCCGACAGGAAGTGACACGCAGCAGAGGTCAGAGCACTTCCTGTGCGCAGGATGTGATGCGAGCGAGTGCTCTCGGGGCGAGGAGGCGTGAAGAATCATTAACTGATGAACATCCAATTACAGAGTTTATAAACCTGACGTGTTGTGGTGAATGAGCCGTGTGCAGAATCACTGCTGGCTTCTGATTTGGGGAAGAAGTAATGTGAGAAAGCAGTTGAAGTGTGTGTGTGTGTGTGTGTGTGTGTTCCTCTAGTCGATGTACTGTGAGAGCCAGCGGAAGCCCTCTCCGTAACCCTGTCTCTTCAACACACTGCACATGAAGACCTCGAGCGGCCGCGTGTTCAGATCCTTCACTGCGATGGTGCCCTGTGGAGACACACACACACACACACACACACACACACACACACACACACACACATCAGGACCTTCATCTTCAACCCTCATCTTTCCATCGCGGGTCAAAATCACCTGAAGCCCTAAAATTATACTCTTTTTTTTTTGTCAAGAAGGATTATGCGCTCGCTCAGTCGGACCCCAGAGTATAATTTTTAGGCTGTCAGGTGATTTTGACGCCGCTAGTGGAAAGATGAGGGGTTGAAGATGAAGGTCCTGATGTGTGTGGTGTGTGTGTGTGTGTGTGTGTGTGTGTGTGTGCGCGACTGTACCTTGCCTGTGGTCTGCCCGTACAGCCCGAAGATCTCGCGCAGCTTCTCCTCGCTGATGGCCTCGGGCTTGTCGATCTTGTTGCCGAGGATCAGGATAGGCACGTTCCCGATGGTCTCGTCTGTCATGAGTGCCTGTTATTGAGGCCAACACACACACACACACACACACACACACAGGTGCATTACACACACCAGCTCAGGGCTCGAGTTAGGGTTAGCCCTGCACTGAACACATCACAGCGCTCGACATCACTTCTGCTGGGACACCACGACACACCTCAGCACTTAACTTATATATCACACTTATATTCTTATATGTTATTTCCATTTTACATTAAGACTCATCCTGACAGAAAGTGAGTCTCTGTTAAACTCAGACTTCAGTGAACAAGTGCAGCGCAGTTTACATTTAAACCCTTATTTTACATTTTAAAGTATAATTTGAACCTATATTTTAAATTAAGTAAAGCGTTGTTTTACATTTTGCAGTGTATATTTGAACCCTGTATTTGCACATAATGTTTAAATGGACATCGCCTTATTCACTATATTAGTTTGCATTGCTTTAAACGGCACATTGATTGGAGGACAGCACTGGACAGGATGTGGATGACAATATTGTAAAAAAACATACATTCACTTTACACAATTATTAATAATTTATTATTAATGTGTGTGTGTGTGTGACAAGAAGCGGTGTTGGTGGCACACAGCGAGTGTGTGTGACAGGATGAAGCGGTGTTGGCGGCACACAGCGAGTGTGTGAGAGTGTGTGTGTGACAGGATGAAGCGGTGTTGGCGGCACACAGCGAGTGTGTGTGACAGGATGAAGCGGTGTTGGCGGCACACAGCGAGTGTGTGTGACAGGATGAAGCGGTGTTGGCGGCACACAGCGAGTGTGTGAGAGTGTGTGTGTGACAGGATGAAGCGGTGTTGGCGGCACACAGCGAGTGTGTGTGACAGGATGAAGCGGTGTTGGCGGCACACAGCGAGTGTGTGTGACAGGATGAAGCGGTGTTGGCGGCACACAGCGAGTGTGTGAGAGTGTGTGTGTGACAGGATGAAGCGGTGTTGGCGGCACACAGCGAGTGTGTGTGACAGGATGAAGCGGTGTTGGCGGCACACAGCGAGTGTGTGTGACAGGATGAAGCGGTGTTGGCGGCACACAGCGAGTGTGTGTGACAGGATGAAGCGGTGTTGGCGGCACACAGCGAGTGTGTGTGACAGGATGAAGCGGTGTTGCCGGCACACAGCGAGTGTGTGTGACAGGATGAAGCGGTGTTGGCGGCACACAGCGAGTGTGTGAGAGTGTGTGTGTGACAGGATGAAGCGGTGTTGGCGGCACACAGCGAGTGTGTGTGACAGGATGAAGCGGTGTTGGCGGCACACAGCGAGTGTGTGTGACAGGATGAAGCGGTGTTGGCGGCACACAGCGAGTGTGTGTGACAGGATGAAGCGGTGTTGGCGGCACACAGCGAGTGTGTGTGACAGGATGAAGCGGTGTTGGCGGCACACAGCGAGTGTGTGTGACAGGATGAAGCGGTGTTGCCGGCACACAGCGAGTGTGTGAGAGTGTGTGTGTGACAGGATGAAGCGGTGTTGGCGGCACACAGCGAGTGTGTGAGAGTGTGTGTGTGACAGGATGAAGCGGTGTTGCCGGCACACAGCGAGTGTGTGTGACAGGATGAAGCGGTGTTGGCGGCACACAGCGAGTGTGTGTGACAGGATGAAGCGGTGTTGCCGGCACACAGCGAGTGTGTGAGAGTGTGTGTGACAGGATGAAGCGGTGTTGGCGGCACACAGCGAGTGTGTGAGAGTGTGTGTGTGTGACAGGATGAAGCGGTGTTGGCGGCACACAGCGAGTGTGTGTGACAGGATGAAGCGGTGTTGCCGGCACACAGCGAGTGTGTGTGTGACAGGATGAAGCGGTGTTGGCGGCACACAGCGAGTGTGTGAGAGTGTGTGTGTGACAGGATGAAGCGGTGTTGCCGGCACACAGCGAGTGTGTGAGAGTGTGTGTGTGACAGGATGAAGCGGTGTTGGCGGCACACAGCGAGTGTGTGGGTGTGTGTGTGACAGGATGAAGCGCTGTTGCCGGCACACAGCGAGTGTGTGAGAGTGTGTGTGTGACAGGATGAAGCGGTGTTGGCGGCACACAGCGAGTGTGTGGGTGTGTGCGTGACAGGATGAAGCGGTGTTGCCGGCACACAGCGAGTGTGTGACAGGATGAAGCGGTGTTGCCGGCACACAGCGAGTGTGTGAGAGTGTGTGTGTGAGAGGATGAAGCGGTGTTGCCGGCACACAGCGAGTGTGTGAGAGTGTGTGTGTGACAGGATGAAGCGGTGTTGCCGGCACACAGCGAGTGTGTGAGAGTGTGTGTGACAGGATGAAGCGGTGTTGGCGGCACACAGCGAGTGTGTGAGAGTGTGTGTGTGACAGGATGAAGCGGTGTTGGCGGCACACAGCGAGTGTGTGAGAGTGTGTGTGTGACAGGATGAAGCGGTGTTGCCGGCACACAGCGAGTGTGTGTGACAGGATGAAGCGGTGTTGGCGGCACACAGCGAGTGTGTGTGACAGGATGAAGCGGTGTTGGCGGCACACAGCGAGTGTGTGAGAGTGTGTGTGTGACAGGATGAAGCGGTGTTGGCGGCACACAGCGAGTGTGTGTGTGACAGGATGAAGCGGTGTTGGCGGCACACAGCGAGTGTGTGAGAGTGTGTGTGTGACAGGATGAAGCGGTGTTGCCGGCACACAGCGAGTGTGTGTGACAGGATGAAGCGGTGTTGGCGGCACACAGCGAGTGTGTGTGACAGGATGAAGCGGTGTTGCCGGCACACAGCGAGTGTGTGAGAGTGTGTGTGTGACAGGATGAAGCGGTGTTGGCGGCACACAGCGAGTGTGTGAGTGTGTGTGTGACAGGATGAAGCGGTGTTGCCGGCACACAGCGAGTGTGTGTGACAGGATGAAGCGGTGTTGGCGGCACACAGCGAGTGTGTGAGAGTGTGTGTGTGACAGGATGAAGCGGTGTTGGCGGCACACAGCGAGTGTGTGAGAGTGTGTGTGTGACAGGATGAAGCGGTGTTGGCGGCACACAGCGAGTGTGTGAGTGTGTGTGTGACAGGATGAAGCGGTGTTGGCGGCACACAGCGAGTGTGTGTGACAGGATGAAGCGGTGTTGCCGGCACACAGCGAGTGTGTGTGTGACAGGATGAAGCGGTGTTGGCGGCACACAGCGAGTGTGTGTGACAGGATGAAGCGGTGTTGGCGGCACACAGCGAGTGTGTGAGAGTGTGTGTGTGACAGGATGAAGCGGTGTTGGCGGCACACAGCGAGTGTGTGTGTGACAGGATGAAGCGGTGTTGGTGGCACACAGCGAGTGTGTGTGTGACAGGATGAAGCGGTGTTGGCGGCACACAGCGAGTGTGTGTGTGACAGGATGAAGCGGTGTTGGCGGCACACAGCGAGTGTGTGTGTGACAGGATGAAGCGGTGTTGGCGGCACACAGCGAGTGTGTGTGACAGGATGAAGCGGTGTTGGCGGCACACAGCGAGTGTGTGAGAGTGTGTGTGTGACAGGATGAAGCGGTGTTGGCGGCACACAGCGAGTGTGTGTGTGACAGGATGAAGCGGTGTTGGCGGCACACAGCGAGTGTGTGTGTGACAGGATGAAGCGGTGTTGCCGGCACACAGCGAGTGTGTGAGAGTGTGTGTGTGAGAGGATGAAGCGGTGTTGGCGGCACACAGCGAGTGTGTGAGAGTGTGTGTGTGACAGGATGAAGCGGTGTTGGCGGCACACAGCGAGTGTGTGAGAGTGTGTGTGTGACAGGATGAAGCGGTGTTGGCGGCACACAGCGTGTGTGTGTGTGACAGGATGAAGCGGTGTTGGCGGCACACAGCGAGTGTGTGTGTGACAGGATGAAGCGGTGTTGGCGGCACACAGCGAGTGTGTGAGAGTGTGTGTGTGACAGGATGAAGCGGTGTTGGCGGCACACAGCGAGTGTGTGAGAGTGTGTGTGTGACAGGATGAAGCGGTGTTGGCGGCACACAGTGAGTGTGTGAGAGTGTGTGTGACAGGATGAAGCGGTGTTGGCGGCACACAGCGAGTGTGTGAGAGTGTGTGAGAGGATGAAGCTCACGTCTAGCTCTGTCTTGGACTCCGCCAGTCTGGTGTGGTCTATGCAGTCCACCAGGAACACGATGCCATTAATGGCTGGGAGGTAGTTCTTCCACACGCGTCGAGCTGTAGAGAACACACACACACACACACACACACACACACCTGTGAGCTCAGAGGGTCTGACACACACACACATCAGTGAGGCGTGGATCATCTACTCACCCTGAGCGTGGCCACCCAGGTCAAAGGTAGTGAAGGTCATGCCAGCGATCGTCAGCTCCTCTGAGGCTGAGGGACACACACACACATCAGATCTGACTGAAATCACTTCAATAAACATTCTTATTCATTTTGACCTGCCTAACATAAATATTTCAGTATACAGTCAAACCAAAAATTATTCAGACAGCATATATATTTTTTATATATTTTCCT